AATCACTTTGGAAAGTGCTGAATTACTTTAGAAATTTTGTATCGAATTATTCCAAAAAAGTTTGTTATCACTTCCGCAAGTACTGCATACCTTTAGAAAGCACTGAATCATTAAAGAAGAGTTTGGAATCACTTCAGAAAGAACTAAATTACTTCAGAAAAGTTTGGAATCACTTCGGAAGGTATTGAATCATTTCATACAATTTCGTTATTACTCCGTAAGGTACTTAATCAATTAATAAAAGCTTGAAATCACTTTTGCAAGTACAGAATCACTTCATAAAGTACCGTAAAACGGGGTATGTTTGATTGTATAATGTAAAGATTAAATTTACTCGCTGCCCTTTTTCCAAATTAGAAACATTGGTTCCATATTGTAGCATAGGGATTTCCATTGATATCGTATATAATGTTTATATAGTATGTGTTACATATTTTACAAACATATTATCAAACAATTTTCTTGTTTTTCACCTGTTTGAAAAAGCACTCAAACCATCACTTATGAAATGTATTTTCGATTTAGCCATCACAAATTCAATGTTGTATTCTTCTAGAACCAGATCAACTCCGAACTATTATTATCCCACGTATTTTTACTGAAAAGTACCAACACTTTAATTGCGTGAAAAGATATTTTACAGACGGGTCACGTCTCAATGGATCCACTGGCTTCGGTGTCTTCAATGAAAACTTTAGCGCCTTCCGCAAACTTCAGGAACCTTGTTCCGTTTTTGTTGCTGAGCTGGCAGCAATCAACTTCGCATTGGGGATGGTTTCCAACATGCCCGCAGACCATTACTTCATCTTCTCGGATAGTCTCAGTTCGATTGAGGCCAAGTAGGCACTCATCTTATTTCCTTTCAAAGGTAAGGGAGCAGATGAATGTGCTGGTCGAAAGATCATATATGATTACCTTTGTATGGGTCCTCTCACATTGCTCAATCCCAGGCAATGAGAAGGCGGACTCTCTCGCAAAGGTGGGCGCGAAGGAAGGCGAATTTTATGACAGGCAAATTTCACACGATGAATTTTACCATTTAGTGCGTCAGAGTACCCTTTCGAGTTGGTAAACCGATTGGGACACTGGAAATCTTGGACGGTGCGGCTTGGGTTTTAGTCGTGACTTCATTCGCGTGATGAGTAGACTTATGTCCAACCACTACTCGCTAGATGCGCATCTCAATAGAATAAACCTCGTGGACAGCAACATATTAGGTGTGGAAACGGTTACGACGACATCGATCACGCAGTTTGGCAATGTACGGATAATGACGCCGCCAGAGAGCGACTTTTGAAACCCTCGAGGCCCAAGGAAGACAACCCTATATCCCTATCAGAGACGTGTTGGGTACCCGCGATCTCTGTTATATGCAGTCGATTTATGTGTGTCTGCAAATGTCTAGTATAAGAATTAAATTCGTTTGTCTTTTGTATCTCTTTATTAGTTTTTGTTTGTCTTGTCCCCCGTCTCGATGAGTCTCATCGTCGCCCACTGGTCACCATAGCCGGTCGAACTCCAGACGAATCTAGAACCACACTACCGTTCATACTGGCGACATCGCTCTGATGAGGCAACGAAACCCTACCCTAAGCTCCTCCCCCTTTTCCTATCCTTCGACAATGTATCCCTCTAACCTCGAGTAAGCCGCGAGTATTCGGCCCAACTCCTACTAGACATAGAATAAAGTGAATTTTGTTACAAACAAAGAACAATGAATTATCGGCTCCGTAAAGCTAACGCAATTCAGCCTTACAAATAAACGAACTAGATAAAAAAAATGTTGTATTCTTATTGCTTATGATGTTTCCTGATTATATAGTCATTCAATGTTTCATATTTAAAGAACTAAATTGTTTGAGTTACACCCATTTTTTCTACATTCATCAAGCATTATCAAAGTAACCCCAAATAAAAAAAACTGAAGTTTGGTCACAAAACTAAACAAAATAGTGCAAATGATTTAATTTTCGTTAAACATATTAATTACGAATAAAGTCTTGGATCCTCAGAAATTGTTTTAAAAATATAAAATTTGAAAAATATTCATTGCTGTAAAAATTATTTAGAATATACTTTAAAAAACTATCAATGTTACCCCGTTTTACGGTACTGAATTATTTCAGAAAAAATTAGAATCATTTCAGAAAGTCCTGAATCTCTTCAGAAAAAAATCGGAAACACTTTGAAAAGTACTGAATCGCTTCATACAAGTTTTGAATAACTTAAAAAAGTACCGAATCACTTCAGAAAAGTTCGGAATTAGTTCGGAAAGCACTTAATTGCCTTAGAAATTTCGTGCATTGGAAAAAACGGGGCTGTGTCATTTCGCATAAGAACATTTCGCCGAATGAGCCATTTCACCGAATAGGTAATTTCACCGAATTTTAATCAGGAATCAAACTGAAAAAACTGGTCATGTTTAAAAGAAAGAATCATATAAATTAAAAATATTGATTAATTAAAAAATAACAAAATTAGTACAACTCGAAAGAACTGGTTATGTTTAAAGAAGGAAGTATGCCTATAAATTTTGATTACTAGCTGAGTGTGCATGTCCTTGTTCGGGATTCAATATTAGCTTGAGTTTCAAAAAAAAACATGCTAAATTTTTCGGATTCATTTGTATGGGAGCCCCTTCTTACTGACGGGGAGGGGTCTCAAATCATTATAAGAACCTTTCCCGGCCCCAAAAACCCCTGCATATAATTTTTATGCCTATCGGTTCAGTAGTTTCCGAGTCTATAAGGGTCAGACAGACAGACGGAAATTAATTTTTATATGTATAGATATAGATTTAGAAAATAACGAGATCAGTATAACTCAAATGAACTGATCATGTTTTAAAGAAGGAAGCATTGCTAGAAATCAAAAATATTGATTATTTAAAAATTTCTCAAATCAGTACAATTCAAATGAACAGCTCATGTTCACAAGAAGGGAGCATTGCATTTGAATAGCTTGCGAGGTTGAAAAAATCTAGCCTTCGTAGTCTTTTTTCGAGACTGATTTCAAAATTTACTGAGTTTTGAGAAAAGTTCAAAACCTTAGGAAATAGTTTGCTTGTCGGTGAAATGACCCATCTGGCCAAACGCCCTTCGGCGAAATGTTCCGCTGCCGGAAAAAAACACACACACTTTGTTCAAAAATTCACCATACGTAAATATTATTTATTTATTTATTTGTCGTCAATCAGTGTAGACTAGAGAGGGTCCAGTATAAGAGAGGAGCGGATTCAAAACAAACTGGCTTGGCAACCTGTGCCTAGGTGGTTTCTAGCAACACTACCAATCAAGATAGGTGCTGCTCAATTGGCTCTGGACAGTTCGTTTGGCTTAAAACCAGCCAGTCCGCTCCTCTCTTATACTAGACCCTTTCTAGTGAAGACCGTTTTACAATTGTTGTCTTAAGTGTTATTTTTACAGAAAACAGTTCAATACATATCACAATCTTCACCAACGTAAAAGGTTTCTGATTCAAGATCTGCATGCAAGAAACGGATTGTTCTATCTTATCCCAACAAAAAAGTATCGGTTAATATCCCTAATGTCAGCCTAGGTGTCCCCAAAATTGGACCCATACATAAATTTCGAAGGATAGCATTTTTTGACAATTTTTCACTAGCAACCAAAAATATCTATTTGTATTGTCCAGATCACGCATTGATCTAAGAAAAATGGAAGAACAGGACATGTTTATCGAGATCCATTGGCCAACATTAGAGCCATTTTCCCTTCTTAAAAAATTGTGAAAACGCCTTGAATTCGGTATTTTTTATATGTAGGCCTACTTCTTGTAGATCAAAGGTCTTTGATGCCTTGGGCGACATTTCTCAATATTATGCAATTAACAACTTTACCCAAGAAACCCTCTCGCTGCGACGCTCTATTAAAAATATAAATCGAGTTCGTTCTAGGCAGTGGGAACAAGAATTAAACAGAAACCTTAAAAAGTTGATGATTTGTATACCGAGCAACTTTGTCGAAAACCGTTGAGGTGTAGAAAATATGCTCACGGCTCTAGAGTTTTTAGCCGCACTGCTGGCTGATAAGGTTATGATTGATGTCTCTGAGCCAGGGCCCCCCTCCAAATTGGGGGCCCTGGCTTTTGCCCACCATCGCCCTACCATTAATACGGCACTGAGGCCTGATATTCCATTAATGGCGGTTAGCTTCAACTCTGATGAACCTGTTTGGATGATCTGCAAAATATTTGCTTAAGCTTCAATTTACTTTGATGCTTTTTGGAAAATTTCAAAAGCAGTTTTTTTCCAACGCGATATTTCAGATTGCAAAAAGCTCGCACTATTCGATTCCTTTTGATTTTTTACACAAAATGACGCGAGCTTTTTGCAATCTAAAATAATGCGTCGAAAAAAACTGCTCTTGAAATTTAAAAAAATGCAACAAAGTAAATTGAACCTTAAAGTGATATCAGCTTAACCCTTGTGCTCATGTTATGAAGAAAAGTTTGATAGCTAAGGTAAGTGTACTAGTTATGGCTATATGTTCCAATTACGGCCTATGGAATTCCCGTAATAAGAACGTATAGCCTTAAGGTTCAATTTACTTTGAAGCACTTTCGAAAAATTCAAATGCAGTTTTTTTCGACGCATCATTTCAGATTGCGAAAAGCTCGCTTCATTCTATTCTTTTGCTATTTTACACAAAATGACGGGAGTTTTTTGCAATCTGAAATGATGACTGTTTGAATTTTTCGAAAACGCATTAAAGTAAATTGAACCTTAACTGGTACACCTAGCCTATACGTGTATGCATTTTTATTATCTAGAAATTTGACATTTCTGATTCCTGAATATGAAAATATTGGAGACACATACATGTAAAAAATAATTCTAAAAATTACGGCTATTGGCAATGGTATAACTATTTCCGCATTCACGCTTCTAATAATATTACAAACCAGATCTCCGTCACATTTCTTTTACATAAAAATCCCCACCACCACCCCCATGACATTTACAGCTGTTAGGCACCTACCTCGTCTTGCCCTCCAGGAAGTCGTAAAGTTTCGGTTATTTTTGCTCCGATTCAATCAGATGAGACCGAAACTATTCGTGAAGCAACCGTTTTCGAAGCATTTCCGGCCTACGATCTTCGGTAGTGTGTAGTTCTAATTCAATCTGCTGTTCCTCACTGCAACACTCCTTCCTCGCACGCATTGGTTCTAGCTAATTCACTGTAGGTAAATACACGCGCATGTGTTGTGTTTTTGCATTTCTTCTTTCACCTAAAAACCGGTGATAATGGTGCTGGTGGTGATGGTCCTGAAGCAAACCTATTCATCTTCTGTGTTTTTTTTTCCATCAAATTTTCCGGTTGCCCCCTAATTGACTTTCACTGTTTTTCACACAAACACACACACACACACACACACATCCACACACTTCGTTGGCGGTGCGCGTTTTCTCATTTTGATCGACTGCCAATCTTGGGGGAGTAGCGAAACGTTGTCACTGTTGGTTTCTGCAGTGCTGTTGGAATCGAATGGAAAACAAAATGCTGAATTAATGTCACAACTTAAACAAAAAAAAAAAAAAAAAAAAAAAATCGTCGAAAATTTACATCTTTTAATTTTTTATGTAGATTTTATACAGCCTTTGAACACATTTTGTAATACAGTGACAGTGGTAAATTTTGAGTTGTGACAGTATTGCATGAAACCGACGATGTTTTGCTTATCGCTTTTCGGAGCCGATTTGCGATACCCTGACTTTTATCACTTTGTCAACCATCTAGTGGGAAGATTAGGTTTTAATAACATTGGATCAGTACAAGGATTGCATTGTTGGTGAGTTACTGCCTTACGGCAATAAAGTTATCGGCATTAACGGCAATCAATACAGTAAATAAAAGCTTTGCCCACGTAAAGTATCGAGCAACTGAAGTGCTTTACAGAATACCAAGCGTCTCCATATTGTTCAGTGCTATTCACGTAGACGCATTGCATTCAGTTGCTAATTGCATACTTTCAGTTATCAGAAGTTTAAATTTTACTATTGTACAGTAATTTTTAGCGATATTTACTTTTCCGATTAAGTGATGCATCTCTTTTCCCAGCATGTGCACATTTTAAATTCCAAAATCACACCAGTCATATAGATCACTAAACATCCGTTTCGATCCACTTAGTATTCACATTCCAGTTGCCACTTGTTAAACGATCCTAATCCGTCCTATTATCGCACTTCACTCAGGTCCCTCCTCAGAGCTTTGGTTCCATCAGATCGGATCCGCGTCTGATAAAGGTGTGAACGTCGCGGGATTCGTCCGGGGACTGAACAGGCCTTCGAAGTGTATACCAGCGTTTCGGAATAGAAAACCAACGGACAGAGACTTGCGCCCACCCACCGCACGCGGTACTCTAACTAGCTAGCTCAATAGCAGCGACTTGTGGAGAGCGTTCGCCGATGTACGACTTTCTTTCGCTTCCTCCCGTAAGCAACTGAGGGCAACGGCGAAAGGAATGGCACTGCCTAGCCAAGCGGCCGTGTTTAGAAAGCAACAAGAGAGCGAGGAAAAGATCCTCGACACGCGAGTTGCGGTAGATAGATAGCATATATGCAAAAGCCGGCTATGGTTGGCTGTCCACGTTTGGTTCATGCACCCATGGCGCGCGAATCGACTGGTTGTTTTGCTGTCAGTTCAAATGAATTTGTAACGAATATCGACTGGCACTGGAATTTGTAACGAATATCGACTGGACAAGTGTGTGTGTGTGGCTGTGACTGAGTAATGCTTAGTAGTACGGTGGAAGAGAAATTACTCATCGGTGGCAGTTGAGAGTGCGTGGACTGATGATTACACCGGCTTGTAAAATGATCAGTATACTGCTCCGATAAACGTGGAAGCGCATTATTTCTGTTTATAAGCTCAATAAATAACCCATGTGGAAAATACAATCAAGGTGATGCTATGCACGTGCTGAAATGCAGATATGCTTAATGATCCTTTCCTTTATTTAACGTCGGTCTCTGTTCCGCAATCTAGTGCCAATCACCGACGGACATCGATTGCCATCCATTGACGGTAATCGAATGTGCAGGAAGGCAGCTTCCACACCTGCTTAGGATATCGCACCCATTCAACACACATGGGCCGGGACCAACGGCTTTACTTCCCTTTCGAAGGAAGACGTGACCAGAGATTTTAATGCCTCAGAAAAATCCCACCGACCTCGACTGGGATTGAACCCAGACCCATCGGGGTGTTAGAAAGCAGTCACGCTTACCACTACACCACCGGCGCCGGCATATGCTTAATGATGACATTGATGAAACAGCCACTGATCCTCAATCTGCACATTCTGTTGTCGATTGACCACTACTCAATCATGCGCTTATGCATATAATCTATCACGATAACAGCTGTGCTCAGTTCATGTTGCTGTCGTTTTAATAGATGGTTAAGTCATTTTCATATATCCTATATATATGTTTCAGCGCAACTAGTGGTAAAATAACTTTTATTTCCATGAATTAACGTGATACATTTGTTTTTGTTGGCTTATTTAGTTGTACAGGCTGTACCGAGAAAAAAAAAATACAGAGTCATGTTATCATTTGAGTTATGCATAATTAATGCCTTACATCAAGAGTTATACGGTGCCTACGAAAAACGTGTAACGGCAAGTTTGTAATAGCATAATTTAGCCATTTCTTGATGAATTTCAAAAATTGTGGTACTTCTAGAATTCCTAAGGTCTGTAGATTATTTTGATTGTAAAATAATTAAAAATATGGTCGTCTACTTTTTTCAACACTGAAAACAGTTGTTACACTTTTTAAATGAGTGTTTATAGGTTTTATAAGTGTCTTAAGATCCATAAACTAGATTAATGGGCACAAATGTTCATAATTAGCCAGAATACAGTCATGGTTCCTATATATGGATCTTAGAGACAACGGAAAGGTCCTCTGGAAGATTTGGAACATCCGTAAAATTGGTCAATCCACGAAACTGATCCTAGAGCTCCGCGGTTTTTTTTTGGAAAACATTAGATCCGAAAAATCTGTAAAAGAGGTCAATCCATGAAACTGATCCTAGAGCTCGGTTTTTTCGAAAACACTTGGAACTGTGATATAAGAAAGAAACATGGTCCCGGATGACCATGAGACTGTCCTCCGGAAGATCCAAAAAATCCTTAAAAGTGGTCCATCCATGAAACTGATACTAGAGCTCCACGGTATTTTCAAAAACATTAGGACTTTGATATAAGAAATAATTTGGAATCATAACATAAACCTAAACCTGGATGGCCATAGGACCATCCTCCGGAAAATTCTAAACATCCATAAAAGTGGTCCATCCATGAAACTGATCCTAGAGCTCCGCAGTTTTTTTTTCGAAAACCCTTGGAACTGTAATATAAGAAAGAATTTAGGGTCGTGACATAAACATGGACCCGGGTGACTATGGAACCGTCCTTCGGAAGATTCGGAGCATCGGTTAAAATTAGTTCATCCATGAAACTAATTCTAGAGCTCAGCAGTTGTTTTTAATCTCTTGGAACTGTGATATAGGAAAAAATTAGATCGTGACGTAAACATGGACCTGGATGGGCATTACACTATCCTCTGGAAGATCTGGAACATCCTTCAGAGTGATAAATCCATGAAACTGATCGTAGAGCTCCGCAGTTTATATAAACAAATATTAGGAACTGTGTTATAAGAATGAATTTGGGTTCGTGATATAAACATAAATCTGCATGACCATTGGACCATCATTTGGAAGATCCGGAACATCCGTAAAAGTGTTTCACACATGAAACAGTGAAAACACCGTGATTTTTTACGAAAACTTCACAGTTCGAAGTGTTATGAGAAAACCGCGAAGTTCTAGAATCAGTATCATCGATGTACCACTACTACCCAAGTTGTTTCTTTAATCACAGTTCCACGTGTTTTTGAAAAAACTGTGGAACTCATGGATCAGTTTCATGGATTGACCATTTTACGGATGTTCCAGATCTTCCAGATGACGATCTCATGGTCATGCAGGTACATGTTTATGCCATGACCCCAAATTCTTAGCTCCTAATGTGTTAAAAAAAAACTGCGGAGCTCTAGGATCAGTTTCATTGGTTGACCTCTTTACCGGATGTTCTGGACACACCAGAGGACCATGTTTATGTCATGACCCCAAATTCTTTATTATATCACAGTTTCAAATGCTTTCGAAAAAACCGTAGAACTCTAGGATCAGTTTCGTGGATTGACCACTTTTACGGATGTTCCGGATCTTTCGTAGGACAGTTTCATGGCTATCAGGGTCCATGTTTGTCACGACGCCAAATTCATTCTATCAACACAGCTCCTAGTGTTTTTTTTCTAAAACTGCGAAGCTCTAGGATCAGTTTCACGAATTGACCACTTTTACGGATGTTTCGGACCTTTCGGAGGACAGCCTAATGGCCATACAGGTTCATATTTATGTCATGACCCCAAATTCTTTCTTATATAACAGTTTCTAATGCTTTAAAAAAATCCGCGGAGTTCTATGATCAGTGTCATGGATTGATAATTTTTAAGGATGTTCCAGATCTTCCGGAGGACGGTTCCATGGCCTTCTAGGTACATGTTTATGCCATGACCCCTAATTAATTTATATATGACAGTTGCAAGTGTTTTCGAAAAAAAAAACCGTGGAGCTCTGGGATCAGTTTCATAGATTGAACATTTTTACGGATGTTCCGGATCTTCCTGAGGACGGTCAGATGGCCATCCGGGTTCATGTTTATGTCATGAATCCAAATTCTCTCTTATATCACAGTTTCTAATGTTTTCGAAAAAAAATCGCCTAGTTCTAGCTTTCCTATAGTTCAATATTCCTAAATCATTAGCTTATTTCTATTCAACTTGATATCAGCAGCGCAATTATAAAATTATCACAAAAACATGCGTAAAAAACACACACACACATATATATAATACGACAAACACAACAAAAAACGGATATGTGCACAAATAATTAACGAAAGAGAAAGTTGACGAAGAGAATCGATCAATGTTACTTAGGACCTTATGAAATGTTCAGCTTGAAATATCAGCTCTCACAAACACTGAAACTGGAACTTCACGTTTCCTGCAAGGAGTTCCAATTTCATGAGTAATGTGATCACATCAGTGTCCAGTGACGGCCATTATTGGACGCTTCAAAGCATCGCATTAATATTCTTCAAGGCAATATATAGGAGAAACGCATCAGTATTGACCATGTTTCTATTTTGGCCCCCAGTGTTGCTTCCACTCACTTGCTATAAAAAAAATTATTTTCGGAAATTTGAAATCATTAGATATTATAATGAAAATATGTACTTGTTAGATACAAGAAGAGATCGAAAGCCAAGAGTTTAACGCATAAAATCTGTCAATTTCGCTTTCAGAGTGTCACAATCAACTATTGTATGATTCGTGAGCGTTCACTTAGAGTGAGCGCTCACGAGTCGTAAAATCGTTGATTGTGATTATCTGACGGCAAATTTGACAGGTTTTATGTGTCCAACACTGTCCTTTCAACCTCTTCTTGTATCTAACAAGTAAACATTTTTATTATAACATCTAATGTTTTCAAAATTCTGAACATATGTTTTATAGCAAGTCAGTGGCCAATACTGGCGCACTTCCCCTGTGAGTTTCATAAACAGATCACGTCCAGCCAAACTATCCTGAACTACAACATTAGGTTGTTTACCTCGAACCCGTAGATAATCGTATAGCTCAGATCTGACCTGACGATACTCACCTCAAGACCAAATAATGTGATCTGCGTCCTGCTAACCTTCTCCACATTCACAGAGATTGCTGTCCCCCAACCCAACGCATCAACAACAACAACAACAACAACAACAACAACAACAACAACAACAACAACAACAACAACAACAACAACAACAACAACAACAACAACAACAACAACAACAACAACAACAACAACAACAACAACAACAACAACAACAACAACAACAACAACAACAACAACAACAACAACAACAACAACAACAACAACAACAACAACAACAACAACAACAACAACAACAACAACAACAACAACAACAACAACAACAACAACAACAACAACAACAACAACAACAACAACAACAACAACAACAACAACAACAACAACAACAACAACAACAACAACAACAACAACAACAACAACAACAACAACAACAACAACAACAACAACAACAACAACAACAACAACAACAACAACAACAACAACAACAACAACAACAACAACAACAACAACAACAACAACAACAACAACAACAACAACAACAACAACAACAACAACAACAACAACAACAACAACAACAACAACAACAACAACAACAACAACAACAACAACAACAACAACAACAACAACAACAACAACAACAACAACAACAACAACAACAACAACAACAACAACAACAACAACAACAACAACAACAACA